GAATATTTTTAGAGGAGGTTCTGGTGCTGGCTCCTCGAAAATAGTACGTGAAGAGATCTTCGGTAGGCGACCGCGAGGTAGAATGAATTTCTTTTTGGGGAATGGTTTTAGAAGTTTTCGCCATTTCTTTATGAAGAGGAAATAAAGAAAAAGAGGAAGTTAAAAGAGTACACTTAATGGTTTGTGTTGAAGCGGAACAGAAGTTCTTATAAAAAGACCTCAAATATAAGTGCCTAAAAATATTGATATTGCTAAGGTACATGGGCAAAAGCTTTGAATGTAAAGTTTGAATGAGCAAAATTAGGGGGTATTTATAGTGTTTAATGACGGTTCGCATCCAGGAGTGACCGACCAACAACTGACCAACATTTAATGCCATTAAGACTTGACTGAAGAGACGTTGCGACTATTTTGTCATTTCTGTCGTGTGGTGTCGAAGAAAGAATTAAAAGGTCATGTCGTTTCTCGTCGTCTACTCTCCGAAAAATGAGGGGACTTTCTGTATACGGTCGGAATCGAGCTCGCCTACGACATGGAAAGTTATGCTCGGAACATGACAACCAAAGATTAAGACCGACCCCGAGTCCCACCGAGCTAGAACCCGGGGTCAGAATGCATGTTTTCGAGAACATTGAGTCCGCAATCCCGGAGTCGACCTTAGCCCCTATCGAGCTCGAAGAAATATTATTAGAATAACCAACAGAAGACCGAAATATCCATAACTGGTCTGGTATTACGGCGGGAATCTCGGTGTGTATCAGTAAGGAACCGACACTCAGCTAATCAAGGGATTTTTTTTACCTTTTATAGAATTGTACCTAAAGTATGACTCCTCTACTATATAAATGGGGGTCTGATAATTCATTAAATGCATTGTAACACGCATCCCAAAGCAATACATTGTTATTATTTCTCTTTAAGCTCTTGTTCTTCTGTATCCTGAAACCGTTCGAAGCGTACCTGGCTCGAGGGTGGCTAACCTTCCAAGGCTGATACTATTCAATTCGTGTGGTTTGCATTTACTTTGTCATTATTTATTTCAATTGCGATCTAATTTATCTAAAACCACTTACAAATTCAATTGTTATCCGATTTTGAGGGCAAACAAGCGTAAAATAAAAATAATTTTAAATATGTAAAAAAATATTATTTTCGTAAAAATATTAGTTAAGTATATTTAAATTCAAAAAGAATAACTAATTATTAGCAACACATAATGCATAATTTTTTTTAATATTTAAATTCAAAAAGAAACTAATTATTACCTAACCTAACTAACTTTGTCTTGAATTGCCAAGTGGCCTATTGCGATGCTGCCACTTGACTTAATGTGGAGCCTTTTTCTTCTTCATTTAATAATATATATATATATATATTCAAAAAGAATAACTAATTATTACCTAACCTAATTACCTTTGTCCTGAATTGCAAGTGACCTATTGTGAGGCTGCCACTTGGCTTAATGTGGATATTTCTTCTTCTTTGTTTAATAATATATAGATTACGCAATGCAATTATAAATTTATTACCTATTTGGAGGTAATTTCACAAATTAAATTTGATAATTATTTTAAAGATTCGGGAATTAATAGCCTATAAGAGAAGAAATTATAAATGATTATTTGTAAGAAGAGAATTGATAATCCAAAGAAGGATGTAGATAATTTGTTTTAGTGTGAAAAAAGAAGAAGATAATTTGAAAAGTTACAAGACATTACAAAAACAAAAAATCAAAAACAAGAAAAGTCAATAAAGAATTTGGAAAGTTACAATATGATTAATGTATATAACAACAACAATATACCCAGTATTATCTACATCGTGGGAAATATGATTCATGTATTCGTAAAATTTAAAAGAATGGTAAAATAAGAAACAAATATGAAAAAAAAATTAAATCAATACGGGATAATTTGAAAAATATAAATTTATAGAGAGGATAAGTTTGTCTTGAATAAATTAATTTTCTGCTTCTGCTTCTTGGAAGAAGCTAGAATTATCTGCTTCTTCCCAAAAGTAGAAAAACTGCTTCTGTTTGGCCAAACAACTTACATTTTTAAAAAAGTTTTTTTTAAACAAAAAAAAATATTTTTGACCCCTCAGAAACAGAAGGAAGAAATGGGCCAATCTATAGCAAAAAGTATTGGGCTGGCTATATTTTGAAGGTCCATAAGCCCAATAACCCAAGACATCATTAATCATTTCTAGGTTTATTAATCCCTAACTCACCACCTTACACAAACTTCCCCCGCTAGGGTTTTGCAGTCTTCACACAAACGCCGAGAGAGAGAGAGGAGAGAGAGAGAGAGAGAGAGAGAGAGAGAGAGAGAGAGTAAAGCAAAATGAAGACCATACTCTCATCAGAAACAATGGACATCCCAGATGGGGTAAACATTAAAGTAAAAGCAAAGCAAATAGAAGTAGAAGGTCCAAGAGGAAAACTCACTAGAAACTTCAAGCATTTAAATCTTGATTTTCAGCTCATTAAAGATGAAGAAACAGGCAAAAAAAAGCTCAAGATTGATGCTTGGTTTGGTTCGCGTAAGACTACGGCTGCAATCCGTACAGCACTTAGTCACGTTGAGAATTTGATCACTGGTGTCACTAAAGGGTACCGTTACAAGATGCGTTTTGTGTATGCTCATTTTCCTATTAATGCGTCGATTAGTGGAGGGAATAAGGCCATTGAGATCAGGAATTTCCTTGGCGAGAAGAGGGTATGATTTCTTTCTCTTTTTTTTGTAGTCTTTGTTTTTGTTATGTATTAAGTGGGTTTTTATGATCTGATTAAAATGTTGGTTTGTTTTTGTTTGTTTAACTATGATGCTGGTATCTTGAAATGTTTGATTATACATGTTGCTGTTGTATGTTAATTTTAACTTTAGGAATGTTCATCTAATTTTCGTTTTGGGAAATATATAAGCTTCTCGACTCTCGAGTGTGTTTGGTACGAAGGAAAGTATTTTTCATGAATTTTAGTTTTTGTTAAACTTAATTTTTTACATTTACAGGATAATTTTCATGTGTTTGGTTAGATATAAATATTGCTTACACATGATTATCCTGTGTGACCTTGCTCTGTTCCTAAGGTTGGATGAAGTAGGAGGATTACGGTAGGTTGATAATCAGCCTAAAACTAGTTAAACTATAATGAATAAGCAGCTGGAATAGTTCATTTGGTGGGTCCCGCGGGGCTCGGGTGAGTTCCGGAGTGATTTCGGATCATTATCCTCATATTGGCATTACTGGTTTCTCTGATTTCTGGCGCTGGGCTATTAGTCATCGCGAAGAGTATTATGGGGCCACTGGTGGTTTAGTCATCGCGGTCGCGACAGGAGGAGTGCGTTTGCGAAAGTTTGAGCGGGTTGCTCTACGCGTTCGCGATAGGGTACCGCGTTCGCGTTGAGAAGCTGGGGATTGGTGGAGTTGTTGTTGTGTAGGATAAGGGATAATCATAGTGTTGTTGGTCATATACTTGTATTAACGGTGAATAACAATGGGTAAGTGTTGATTAAAGTAAGCGATATGTAGTAAGAGTTGAGATGTTGCAAGGGAAAATGACTTCTCTCGCTAATGGAGGGAATTCATATATTTTCCTTGGAGGAAAACCTTTCCACATTTCAAGATATGTGGTAAATATTTTCCAAGAAAACATTTTTTGCCATACCAAAGACGCTTGATCAGGGCCTTTTCTTTTTCATTGGCTGCTCAGGGATAGGTTTCAAATAGCAGAGGTAAAAAGCATTGAGAAGTGTTTAACAACTTTGATGCCTTTACTTCATGCTGCTTGTTGTATGGACTATATCCGTCTTTTCTTAAACATGTGGAGATCATCGCAACACTAATATTGATGGATTTAAATGTCCCTTGCATGGTTTATAGTGTGCTTGAGCAATGGGCTTCATTGTGCTTTTATTTTGCTGATTGTTTTTAAAATTATACAGGAATGTACTAAGACAAGCTTCATTGTGCTTTATTTTTGCTGATTGTTTTTAAAATTATACAGGAATGTACTAAGACAATGATTTGATACTTTTAGAGGATGCTTTCTAAGTTTTTCTTTAACCCCC